TGATAACAGCAGCAAGGCTTTTATATGCACAGAGGTGGAAAGATAAGACATTACCTACAATGGAAGAATGGATGGTGAAGTTGATGGAGTTGGCTGAGATGGCAACACTGACAGCTTTGATTTGAGATAAGATATTGTACAATTTTAATGCTAACTGGAAACCTTTTTTGGATTTTTTGTGGGAAACAAAAAATGAAATTATGTTGTATGGATTTGATGATTAGAAATAATACGGGTTAATAGACATAATGGAAGTTATGCTTTAAACTTAGAGTAAGAATTTGATGTATTTATTCATTTATTTATTAAATTTATATGCCGCCCATCTCCCCCAGTGGGTGACTCTGGGCGGCTCACAAGTAAGATCAAACATTAAAAACAGTAAAAATATAAATACCCATATTAAATTAGCTAAAAAATAATACTATATAAAAAGACTATATACATAAAAAGACTATAAAGTTCACATTTTCACATGATACATCAACTGCCAAAGGTAGTTTAGCTCCAGGATGACTAATGACTCCTCTTCCTGGTTCCATGGCTGCAGACACCCATCCATGCTTCACATACCAGCAGGGCAGCCATGCCAACCAGATGCTGTGACCCCTTTTGCTTGGAATAAACCTGAGAGAGAATCTTTTGTGGTACATTTATTTGCAAGTTTCCCCTCACATTTATTTTAACCGTAAACAGTCTTTACGCCAGGTTTATGTGAGACAGCCATTGGAAAACAATGGGAAGTTGCAGCTAGTATACTCAGCCAGAGTCCTCAAGTGTTTCTGCAGCCAAGCTGTGGTTGGTAGTGATGTTACTTTTATCTGTTGCAAGGAGGGTCGGAAGTCAATTCTTTGTTTTTTCTTTTCTTTTCTGTACCTTTGATCTTTACTATTTTCTTTTTTTTTCAGTTTTGTTTTTCTTCTTCTTTCTCTCAGTACTAGTTTTTGTTAGTTTTTACTGTTCCTTTTTAAAAACTTAATAAAGTTATTACAAAAAAATGTTTTCATTACTGTTATATCAACATAGTAAAGATTAGGTGATGCTACAAGTCTAGTGAGAAAATGGTTTTTGCTTTTTTTTTTTAATGAGTCAACACTGATATTTTTGAATGACTACAGGAACTACACATTCCACCAGTGGCAGAAATTATAGGTACTTTTACAAGGAATTCTGGTGTTTGTGCCTCATATACATCTTTTCCTTGGCTTCCCTTAATATATTCCAAGTGGATACTGAAGCATCCATTATTTGGCCAGGCCAGGCCAGGCCAGGCCAGGGAGGGTAGGTGAAAAAAGGAAACAGAACTCTTTTCCAGAAATTTGCCACTTCCTTCTTTTTACCTCTGTTTGCTAAATGATTTCTTAAATGTGTACACAAAACCCAATACCTTAAAACACTGACGTAAATGTACAAATTATATACTTACCTGGGAACCTGAAAATCAATATAATTCTTTGGGACATATCCCTCATAGTTCTTCAACTCAGCTTTGTACCAATTTTCTTGAGAGCTTAAGATCTGTAAATCAGGAGGAAAATTGTAATTAGTTGAAAGTACTGTATATGTGAGTCTTCTGCTAGCCTACATTTTGAAGGTTCCATACCTCCTTAACTCCTTCGCTATGCTTCCTGCTATCAGCTCTTACCAGTTTGCCCCCAGAGATCTGAAACAAGCTTCAGCTATTTTTTTTTCCTGAAAAGAACTCTGTTCTTTCAACTCAGTAGAAATGAACTAGCATAGCAGCTGTGCCAAGCCAACTGTTAAGAGAAACATAGCTCCTGACTTTCATTTATTAGGCATGGACATCTGTAGGAAGAAAGCCTACATGCAAAGACTTTTCCTTTAAGAAAAAACCCTGATTTCACAGAATTTCAGCTCCAGAAAAAGTTTGTGTGCACAGAGATCTATGTGCTTCAGCTCTGCAAAAAAGTCAAAAGGGTGGACCTAAGCAACTATGTAAACATAACAAGAAAAATGAAAATTAGAAGCTGTATTGGGTATTTGGAGTTATTCTCCTATATGTTTTGGTTAATTCCTTTATCAAGAAAAACTCTTATCATATAATGTCAACCAAAATGTCTCCTTTCCTTGAATGAGCCCGTGTCAGGTACCCAACATAACAGTGGCTTCTGATGTATTGCTTAGGCTTTAGTTCTCCCCTTAAAGATGTTCAGGCTTAGTGGGAGATGGTGGACCAGTGAAGTGGCTCTGCTGTCCTTTAAGTGTTTAACTCTTTATAAATGGCTGCAAAGACAGAAGTGAAATCATTCCAGAAATCTTGCAACTTTAATAATATAATTAATATAGTATATAATTCTTCCTTCCCCTGTGTGAGGGAATAACTCTTTCATTGGAAGCTATGCAGTCAAAAGGAAAAAGAAATAAGGAAATCAAATAGTTTGGGAGTGTCAGGCCCAGCCCAAGAACAGCAACAAGACAGTCCAATACAATATAGTCCCTTTATTAGCTTGCACCTAATACACAGAATCTCGCCAGATTAACCTATGCTAAAGCAACTATGGACATACCCCGTGAGACTCTAGGGAGGGGCCAGCCTCATCCTCTTTGTCTTCCCACGTTCCTGCTGGGGACTAAGAAAGCACTTGCTCTGGAATGTTCCTCCTCCCTCCTGATAACCTTGTTCCTCCATTCCAGTATCCTCCTTGCTCATGCCATCCATTACAGGGAGGTTACTGTAGCCTGGATTGGGACTGTGGAATTGCTGAGATGATTTTAGAAAGGAGAGGTAGAAAATGCGTTCAGAAGAACTACTGTACATTATAATAAAAATAAAAAAAAATAGAAGGAGATGTGCTAGTTTTACCCGTTTTTCTGGACCTCGGAAGCACATCTTCTCTGTAGCAGTGCCTGACCTCTGGAATGAAGTACTCCCTGATAGTCAAATGACTCCCACCCTACTGGTATTAAAGACCAGCTCTTCACCCAGGCCTTTGGAGAGAATGACAGATGCCCCTTTCTTCCTTTCAGTTCCCTTCTGGGTTTGTTTTCTTTACCATCGTCTTGTGCTGTTTTTTGTGTTTTTTGTATTGTTCCTTAAATGTCTTAAATGTTTTAATAATTGTAAACCACCCAGAGTCACTGGGAGCTGGATGGCATATACTGTATATTTAATAAATTATTATTGGTTGCACAGTCAGCCATATGTTTAGACTGGATTTGGC